TCTGCCAGCTGCCATGGGGGGGGGAGTGATGCAGGAGAAGCCAGAAGCTTGAGAATGAGCCAGGGTAGAGGGAGGGAGGGTTTGGCCTGGGTCCCCCCCCTCCCACGGCAGGTGGAGCAGGAGCCAGTTGGGGTCCCAGGAGCCCAACCCCACCAGAGATTGGCTGCTTGCCTCTCAGCCTCTGCTCTGGCCTCCGGGCGGGCCCTGACTCACACGCCGGCGCCCAGCCCCACCCTGTCCCTCTTGCGAAAGGGCCCCGACAGGCTCGGGCTGGTTCTCCTCCTTCCGTCACCGGGAGGGCAGGGCCCCGGATGAAACTGCCCTGGCCACATGCATGGATGGCCTCACGTGACAGCAGCAGCACAACACACAATCACAAGAGGCAGCTCCCTGGACTGGCCATAAAAGACCAAGATCTGGGCTGCTCCCAGAGGCTCCTCAGTCAACACCCACCCCGTCTGCCAGCTGCTTCTCCCAAGAACTTGAGCACCATGAATCCTGGGGGACTTTCGCCTCCAAAACCAGCCACCCCCGAAATTCAAGGCTTTGCTAACCAGGTAGGTCATCCCCCCAACCCCTCCGAAGGACCCCCACCCAGCTCCCTTCCCTGCTGTGCCAAGAGATGCCCCTTTCCTGACCTCCCCAAGGAGCCCCCAAAGCATGCGCCCCTCAAGCCCCCGTCGTCTGCCCAGGCCGGCGAGGAGCCGTGAGGCGGCGAGGGCCCCCCTGGCATCTCCCAGAGGTGCCCTCTTGCAGCCTCATTGCCTTGGCCGTGTCGCTTCTGCCACCAGGTGAAACCCAAGCTGGAGGAGGCGACGAACCTGACGTTTGCGACATACGAGGCCATTTTATACCGTCAGCAGGTGGTGGCTGGGATGAACTACTTTGTCAAGGTCAGTGGCTGAACCCCTGGATCTACCACCACCCCAGTCCCAAGCAGGGGAGGGGGGGAATCCAGCCTCTTAAGGACCATCCAGGAGTTTTTTTTGGCATCTGCTTCTCTCTCCCTCCTTCACAACATCTGCGGTCGAGAGATGCTTCACCACACCAGTGGTTGACGGGGCCCCTGCCTACCCTGTTTAGTTTTAATTTCTGCTCCTCTTCCCTAAATTCTGAGGCAGGACCCATTCTGCCACCCCGCCCCACTGGGTCACTCGGGGATTCAGTGCCACCTCAGCCACTCAGACAGCCGCAGCCTTGGGCTCTTCCGGACTGTCCTCCAGGGCCTCCTGGACCCGCCGGAGGGGGAGACCTTCCTCCAGGCCATCCTCTCCTCCCAGCAGCCCCCCCCCTCATTTGCAAAAGCCTCTGGCTTGGAAGGAACACCTGAAGAGGTGCGAGGAGGAGGAGGAGGAGGAGGAGGGTCTTCTGGTTTGGGTTTTAGCCAAACAGGCAAGTGTGAGCCCCCTGACCCAACTCTATCAGCTGGGCTAGGAAAGGCCTTTTCTGGACCTTGGGCGCCAGTGAGATCTTCAGCCAGCATTAAAAAGGATGGGAGGGGTCTTCCCCCTTAGGGGGCATCTGGCTGACCTCTGGCTGCTCAATAGGAGCCAGAATTCGCTTTTGAACTCTCACAAGAAGTAGCCGTAGACGCCCCGTTGGGGATGTGGCTGCTGGACCCCGATGCCTGATGCCCAGGTCCCTCTGCTCCCCCCTCACAGATGCAATGCGGCGACAAAGAGAAAGACTACATCCACCTGAGGATCTTCGAGGCCCTGCTAGTCAATGGCGGACAGGTTGAGCTCTCCAGCTTCCAGGTGGACAAGACCAAGGATGACCCCATCACCTACTTCTAGACGCAGCCTAGAAGTCTCTTCTCCCAACCGTGTAAGCTTCCGAGCATAATAAATGCATCTCTCCTAAAATGTCCCTGGATTTTTGACACAAACTCAGCTGGCTGGTATTTACAGCTAGTCCTCAAGTTACAGCAGTTCATTAGTGATCATCTGAAGTTACAACAGCACTGAAAAAAGTGACTCACGACCGGTTTCCACACTCGCGGCCGTTGCAGCCTCCCCAGGGTCACGTGAACAAAATTTGGATGCTTAACAACTGACTCGTATTTATGACGGTCGCAGCGTCCTGGGGGAAGGGGGAGTATCACGTGACCCCCTTTTGAGACCTTCCGACAAGCAAAGCCAATGGGGGGAGCCAGATTCACTTAAC